TGAGATACTCTCGGTAGCTTGCTGGGCTCTCCGAGACGGGTGGAGGAATCGAACTCAGGTCGGCCATGTTGGCTGCGTGCAAGGCAAACGCCCTACCGCTATGCTATCGCTCCAGCCCTGAACAAGGTAACAAAAGAAAAGATGATATATAAAACCAATGAGGAAAGTTTGTGAGTTGAGTTAGAGTGATCCCAAGCCTTCCCAGAGGTGACTTGAGAACACAAAATGCTATCTCTAGCATTTCTAGCATTTCTGAATATGCTGACAAGAAAAAAGTAAGACTTAGAGAGAAATAAAGAAACTGTGTCAATAGAGAAAGCTGATAAATGAGTCCATAAGATACTAAGATGCTGCTGGGCTTCCTATTTTGTAACAAAAGGCAGGACTTGGAGAAGTCACAGGGAGAAGACATGCTCCGGTCCATCCTTTCTCATCCCTGAACCTTAAGAAAAAGAAAAAAATAGAGTGAGTTCCTGTTCAAGGTGCGCAACAACCTTAGCAGTTCCACAAGGTGGTCATCAAGCCATACCTATGTCCACTTGATCTGCTTCCACTTGATACATTAAGTCTGGGAATAAACCCTTGGTGCCCTTATGTCACGGGAGCCACGTAACTCAGGTCAAGAAAAGAAATAACATTGGGAGGGTCCAGAAAATGATGTGAAAATGGACTACACCCAATAGATCTGGGTTCTCTGGAATTCTGAAAGAAAGAAATCAGAAGACTAAATTATAAGTCAAGGTTGCTATCATGCCAAAAGAAAAAATTACAATCAAATTACATGGCACCATATGTTTCAGGGGTGTGTATACTTATATGTTTAAGTATAAATAGTGTATCAGTTAACAAAGAATCACAAGGGAAGAACATACAAGAAGAAGTTGAAAGTGAAATTTAGCAAGTGAAAATGAAGACCAGCATGTGATTATTTTCAATATCATCTATTGGAGAGCAGAAACAAACTGGTCATGCAACTTCTGCTACCAACTCTCTTTTAAATATGACTCTTAACCACAGGATATAACATTCAGCTCTGCTCCTGAGCTTTTGCAACAGAGAGTATACAGAAATAAGTACAAAAATCTGCCATGAGAGAAAAAAAGACTATACATAACCAGCGTTCAAGAGTTTTACAGTTTAAAGTTTTTACTTTGCGGGGATATGGTGTTGCCAACAGGTCAACCTGTACCTGTGGGGTGAGTGCATCAGCAGCCTGATGGTGACCTCAGGATTCCTGACACCCCAAAATTTCCACTGTGCCTTTGGTCGGACCCCAACAATTTGGGAGAAAGTTTACCAAAAATTAAACAGCTAAAAGTTAGGTATGTGGAAGCCATGCCCACAAACCACCTGTGCGTCAGCTATAAAAGCTCATTTATAGGCCTTATTTCAGAGACCCATAGAAAAATCTCTAAAGAGATCAAAAGCCACAGTTAATCTCGGACCTGCACATGGCTGAACAATCTGGGGTAAATCAGAAGGGGGTAAGTTGCTTTGTGCCTGCCCAAGCAGAGCCCCCAGCAGTAGCTTGCTTCCACAATCCAAAATCACAACAGGGGTTGGAGAGATAGCATAGCAGCTAGTGCATTTGCCTTGCAAGAGGCCAATCCAGGTTCGATTCCCAGCATCCCCTATGGTCCCTCAAGCACCACTAGGAATGATTCCTGAGTGTAGAGTCAGGAGGAACCCCTGAGCATTGCTGGGTGTGCCCCCCAAAAAAAGAAACACAAAATGCCGCCATACCCTTTCCCCCCCACCCCCGCCTGACTCCACTGTCTCAGAACAAACTTCACCAATATATAAATATAATATACAGAAAATTTGGGTATGCTAGTTTTGTGACTGGAGTTGGGAGGGGTACCTCCCCCCACTTCCCAATACACATAGAAGCACTGGCAGTCACCCCCACAAACCAACTCTAGTGCCACCCTGTAAACTCTATTATCAGCCTTGCTTCAAAGACCCATAAATAAATCTCAAAAGAGATCAAAAGTCAGAGACACAGCAGTGAGTCCTGGAAGACACCACAGAGCCAGAAACCCTATACCAAGCCAATTTCACTGGGGCACCCCAGATGGAGCAGATGCAGTCTCCCCGCCTACTCCACATAAAAAGCTGGCAGTCAAGAGCTTCCACAAGCAAGGCCCCGGTATGCAGATTCCAGAACTAATCTCCCTGCCTCATGGCAGCAGAGGTGCTGGACTGTCCCTCGGGGCTCCCTGCCCACTCATCTGTCTGGCTGTCACACCCACAATGTGCCTCCAAGGTGCCATCTTAGTGCACCAACAACCCTGGTCTAGAGACACCCAATTGAATCCAAAATGGATTGGTGCCCTACAGAAATGTCTCTGGATCCAACCATTTACAATCTAGGATTCAAGAAGTGCACGACTGTGGCACCCAATATATTTGATCAATGGACAATAAATGATCTAGCATCTGCCCCTGGTGGGCAGACTTGAATGGTGGTGGGAAAATTCGAGCAAAACATAATGCCCACTTCTAAGCTGTGGAGTAATCCTCCTGGTACTTATCTCTACTGTTCTTGGATGTTAGTCTCCCATTCTGTTACTTTATATTCCACAAATGATCACATGCGGGGAAAAGGCAGCTCAGAAATAGAAGAGACCACCAAGTAAAGGATGCAAGGAGGGCCCTGCTCGGGTTGGGAGATGTGGGTTGAAAATAGACTATAGACCCCGAACATGATGGCCACTTAATGCTTCTACTGCAAACCACAACACCCAAAAGGGGAGAGAGAGCAAAAGGAAATGCCCTGCCACAGAGGTGGGGGAAGGGTGGAGGGGATGAGGTGGGGGGGTAGGAGGGATGTTGATACCATTGGTGATGTAAAATAGATAGTGGTGGAGGGATAGGTACTTGACTATTGTATGACTGAAATATAAGCACAAAAGTTTGTAAGTCTGTAACTGTACCTCACGGTTATTCACTAATAAAAAAAATTAAATTAAATAACTGTTAATAATAAATATTATTTTAAATAGAAATTTATGAGGACACTTGGGGCATATTTAAGGAGTATATAGTTGGCCTCTTGAAAGTCTTGCATAAAAAATTCAAGAGATCTTTTCTGTACCTATTGTGCAAGATCTGTAAATGTTTTTATCCTCCTAGAATAATAAACTTATTAGAACATGCAAAAAAACCCATAATGCCCAAAAGTAGAGAGAGAGTATTGGGGAAATTGTCTTCCATGGGGGCAGGGTGAAGACTGGGATGGGGTTGCGGTGGAATATACTGGGGACACTGGTGGTAGAAAATACACTGGTGGAGGGATGGGTGTTTGATCATTGTATGGCTTTATCTCGAACATGAAAGCTTTGTAACTGTATTATCTCACTGTGATTCAATAAAAAAAAAAAAACCCAAAGTAATGTGGAGTTCATGCCCAATTCAATCAGCTTAATCAATGGCTGAATATATAGCAGTCTTCCTAACATTAAAAAAATAAAGTTTTTATTTTGAATTTTTAAAAGTGTACAAATTAGACATAAATTTGGACCACAGGAAGAAATGATACAGTGTTTGTATCCTATTAGACTGATGCCTTGATCTTATAAGGCAAAAAAAATTTATTTGTTAATGTCATTGGTCTTAATATCTTTGCATTCCTTTCATGAACAAATCCCATCGCATCTAAGTTCAAAAATCTGCCTTAAATTTATTGACTGTTTTCATTTTGTCAACATCAAGTTAAAGTTCACAAGCCACCTAATTGTACTGCAGAGATCATGAGATTATTTTCTCTATTTCTGCCTTAATCCTTTCTGTTCCCCTTGTCTACTATGCCCAGCTCCCACCTCTTCTCCCAGCAATCTTGAACACCCCACACACATACAAAGAAAAAACGTATATAATTCTTCCAAAGTTGCTCATAGAATGAAAATCAGCATTCTTTGTACATCAACCTCTTCTTGGTTCATTTTTTTTCAGGTACCTTTAATGTTTGAAAATGTGCCAGAATCTTTCTCACCCCAGTTTTTGCACAAACTATTTTTGCATACTGAATTGTCCATAGATCTCTCTAACCTCTTCCTCCCCTCATCAAGTTACAAATGTATTTCTATATTTATTTGTATGGTATGGGTTTTATCTGACCCAAACACGCACTCAGTTGAAGCTGAGTAATGACTATATGACAGTTTGTAACATTATTCTTTCTATTTGAGGGTTTATATGAAACTTTTCTTGGTAAACAGCTTTTAAAATTTCCATCAAAATCATAGCAACAGTTATTGCTATCCTAAGATAAGATTTTCAAATTTTGCATTTAAAATGTTTCTCCATAATGAATTCTTGCATTTATCTTTAGTAACCAAATTAGATTCACAAGTGACATTTTAAAGTTTCCAATATCAAATATGCAAGAAAGTGACCCAAAAATGAATAAAGGACAACTTAAAACAAAGTGTAAATTTCAATTGCCCTGTCACTGTTTTTACCACTAAAGTATTTTATTTGAAATTATTATTATTATCCATTAGTTATGGACCATTTTTTAAAGGATCCTACAGTAGGTATATAAAACTTCTATTTCTATTTTGTAACTTTGAGTGAACTTTTTATTTTATTTATGAATTGTTCATTTTATTAAGTGTTTATTTATTACAGGGGCCTCTGCAAAGAATGCTCAGATGAGCAGTAGGGTTCTAAGTAAGGTACATGGCCAACAGGTGCTCATGGTAGTCAGGGCTATACTTGTCATATCTGAGGGCAGGGGGCCTACAGCACCAAGTACTAAACCAGGATCTTTCGTGAGCTAGACATGTGTTCTACCACTTAAAGTATTTCCACTGCCCCTGAGTAAATTATTTAACCTGGTTTCTTTTTAGTAAGTACTATGATTTAAAAAAAAATTGTTTCAGATGTAAAATTCTTTTTCCACAGTTTGAAAGACTTTTAAAAGGCAACCATAAACAATACCAATTTTTAATGATGTAACCACTCAAAAGAACATTCCATTTTATTCCTTCATCGGGTCATGTACCACGATTGTCATGTAAAGTTTGTTCATCTACCATGCTTTTTAAAGGATGCATAATTTCATCAGTTCTCTCAGACCTGGTGTCATAATTCCCATCTCTCGCATTTCTGTATTTGTGCAACAAACTGTAGTGCTGGTCATTCTTATTGAAAGTATAGAGTGATGAAATTTGCTGCCAGGCTTCAGGACTTGGGATTTGGTTCTCTTGAGAACTTGAAACCTCAAAAAAATAGTTAACATTCTCTCTTGCCAATATATTTGCACGAACTTTGGCTTCCTCTGTAAGGATCTTCTGCTCCTCTTTCAAATATATTTTCCAAAATTCTAGCTGCATAAGACTAAATGGAGATCTGCATCGGGAGTAACATGTTCCAACCAGAAGACAAAGGACAATCAGTGCTATGAGTATCCAGCCTCCCACCTTAGGAAAACACACACACAAAAAAAAAAACACAATTAATCACATTTTCTGTCATTTTCTGAATCCTCAGGTCAAATCTAAAGTACTTCTCTTATTATCAGCTAGCAATGATTTGGAATCTTAGTCCCTTCAAAGGAGGAGTGGCAGGGAGCTCTGGAGCTCTGGACAACTGCTGGCCAGACCCGTCCCCATATTCTAAGTCCACTCGAAGATCCAGGAATGAACCTCTATATCCTTACCCCAGAACGCAAAACTTGGAGCTTTCACAAATGCAAGTAAGCCATACATTTTCAAAGTCTTTTCTAAGCCCAATGGCTGTAGGGCTGGGACCTCCGAGTCAGACAGACTTTCTGCTAACAGCTTTTTCTGGCTGCAAACATCAGAGGGAGTGCCTTTACTCCTTTTCTCTGGTTTGACTTCAATAGTGCCTCATAGTCTTCCTATAAAATAGGCAAGTGACTTTTAGTTTGTTTTCTGATGTCTTAAAATGCGTGATTTGGGGCCAGAGTGAGAGTACAGTGGGTAGAATACTTGCAGGCAGCCACAAGGGGTTCCATCTCTGGCATCCCGTGTATCTGGCATCCCTGAGCACCGCCAGGAATGATTCCTGCGTGCATTAAAGCCCTGAACACAGCTGAGTGTGCCCCCACTCCACACTCGCCCCCAAGCAAAGAAAAAAGGCCCGACTTTTGCCTCCCCGCTGCCTCCTGAGCCAACCCTGACCTGAGAGTGCGCCCGGAGTTCCTGCAGGAGGTCCACCAGGTCCGGCTCTCTGTTCTGCAGGCAGGGCATCTTGGGCAGCAGAGTGATGCAGTCTTCTCGGTGGCCGCTGCACATGAATCGCACAAGCGGGGCTATGCCGCTGGCCCCGCACTGGTAAAAGGTTCCCCCGAGCAGCGCCACGGCCACCCAGGTGAAGGGCGCGACTAAGGCGGTCGCAGTGATCTCCAGGCACACGTTGCAACTTTGCTTCTTCGTCGGGGAGCGGGGCCGGGCACCCCGCAAGCAGCAGCCGGTCAGCCAGCGCCAAGTGCGGGTTCGCAGCACAAAAGCCAGGATAAAGAGCAGCAGCGCGGGCACCAACAGGAAGACCAGCCCATAGGACAGGTTCCAGCTGGCGCTGCAGGGGCACTGGAACACCACAGCGGAGAAGATGCGCTCCCCGCCCGCAGTCAGAAGGGTCACCAGCCCGTAGCCCAGCGCGTAGCGGTGCTTGAGCATCAAGTCCAGTACCGCATGAAACTTCTCCATGGGTTTCTCAAACAAGGTCGCCAGGGCCAGACCCCGAGGTGCTTCTTTCTGCGGCTGGCACGTCCTGTGGTTTGATTGCAGCTGAGGCCAGGGACTTATGTTCTTTGATAAACAATAAACTCGGAAAAGGAAGAGGATTTGCCAGGCCCTCCAGAGATGTCTTTCGCTTTCTTTTGTCAACCAAGTCAGCTCTGGGTCACTGAGAATCTAAGGGAACACATCCTCTCCCAGCCTCTCAGCCTCCCACCCTTTCCTTCCCTCTCCGCCCCCTTCGCTGGCGGAAACCACAGCGGTGATTTTTCTTCCCTGTTTCTCACCGAGAACGACCTTGTTGACTGTTACCTCTACAGCTACCAAACTGATAGCCAGGAAAGTTTCACTTCAGATCCTGACCAGAAAAACATCCAATGGGAAGAGGACCTTTTGCATTTGAATTAGGGGAGAAAAAGCCAGCTGGTCCTCCAATGCAACTACTCCTACTTCCCAGGCCAATTATCAGTAAAATCGAACTTGTGCCAAAATAGCTGCACAATTACTGGTAAAGGTTAAGTAAAATTTCTAGTTTCGCTTTCATAAGTTAGAACACTGCAGAATAGAACCACCTATCTAATTTACACTTTGTTTCCTGCCTGATCCTCTAAAGAACAGTGAACTGAATATATTGCATTATTTCAGCCTTCCCTTCTCCTGCCTCAGTTATTTCACAACACTCTCAGTACCTGGAGGACTATAAAATTTTTCCCACCGACCACCAACTTGGGGAGCAAGCAATGAGGAGTTAAGTGTGTTTTGGTTTTGTGGTGATGGGAATCAAACCCCGGGCTTCAATTGTTCTCTACCACTGAGTTACACCTCTGCTGCCAACCCCCACCTAAATTTTATTTTAAATTTGATTTTGAGGGACCACAAATGGGGATACTCAGGAATTACTCCTAGAAGTGCTCAGCGCACCATACAGGAACTGACAGGGGTTGAATGTGAACCAGCCATCTGCAAGGCAAACAGCCTACCCTGCAGTATCATTCTGTCCCCATCCCCAAGTTTTAAACCCCAACCACATCTAACTAACATGTTTTTCTCCATCTTCAGTTTTCTCAAGGCACCATGCTCTGCCACTACTGTAACTACTTCTGTGAAACTATATTTATTCTGCGGCTTGAGGCATTTGAAGATAGAAATGGGTTTTGAAGTCAGGTGCATTGTATCTGGGTGTATATCTGCATGTATGTTCAGCAAATCAGCTTCTCTAAGGCTCAACCTCCTTATCTATAATGAAATAAAAACTAATTGTTCGCTTTTCAAGACTGTTGGGATAAGAAAATTGACTAGCATATGTAACACACTGCAGTTGTGAGGGCAAAACGGATGCCGTGACAAGCTGCAGCTAACATTAAGTCTCAACTAGGCTTCAGTTTCTGTTTCCCCGAAGTAGCATTTGCAGTTTCTGGTAAACTCTCAGTTGAGTTATTTGCCAAGATAAGTAATTGGGCAGTTAGGTCTGGCCACTCATGAGGGGTCACTGTACCCTCCTTAGAAACTGTTACTAACCATTGCCTAATTGCTGACCACCATTGGAATAAGGTCGATGCTAAAAATAGACCAATATATAAATTGCCTCTTCACTCTAAACCCTATATGAACTGCTTGTGATTTGGAGTCGGGGTTCTTATCAAAACTCCACTGCGTTAGATGAGACTTGGACCCTAGCTCGGGCTAGCACTGGCTCGGGCGAGTAATAAAGTCCTTTTGCTTTTGCATTATCGTGTGTGGACTGGGTCTCTCTGCAATTGGGGATCTGAAACTCAGGCATAACACAGGTTGTTAGATAAGGGATTACTTTTTACTTGCAAGTATGAGAACAGACAAAAGGAACAAGAAACCTATACTGAACATAATTTGAGAGTCCAAATTGCTGTTAGATGAAATAATAAACTGAACTAATATCTATCAACTTTTTTGCCTTTTGCTGTCTGCCTGACTACCAGGGAATGTGTCTGGGGATGGATTCAGGGTGTGCAGGTCATAGTGAACAGAAAACAAATGATGTACATCCACAGGTATAACTTAACTGAGGAGAATAAGCAGTCCAAAGAACTGAGGCAATTTTTAGAGAAGTAGCAAGAGATATGTTATTCGTCTCTATGTACAACTTGCCTTCTTCACTACATCTCAACCACTCCAAGCCTCACAAACACCATACCTTGTGTGTGTGTTGGGGGAGGGGAGTAAGGATGCTACCATTCTGGGTCTGGAGACATAGTATAGATATTAAGGATCTTGCCTTGCATGCAGTTAACTCCAGTTCAATCCCCAGCTTCCCATTATTGTCCCCTGAATACTGTCAGGAGTTAACCCTGAGCACAGGGCTAGGAGTTGAGCCCTGACCATCACCAGGTATTACCAAAATAAAACAAAACCCTCACCATTTTATAGTATTTTGAGGAATAACTTCTCTCTTGTATGAGTGTCAGATTCCATCTCCAGATCAAAATCCTTGTTATGCAGGATAGTTGGGATTCTCTACCCTGAGATTAGACCAGATACTATCAAGATCCCTGTAAACTTGTATATGTCAAATAAATTATTCCTACTCATTCATCTCTGCTCTCTTACATCACCAAAAATAAATTTTTTCCTTGTCCCTCACATGACTCTCATTCTTTTACTGAGGGGCTCTTCTTCCCCACTTCCTAGCCCACAGCATCTCTGGACTAGAGTGATAGCATAGCAGTTAGGGTGTTTTCCTTGCATGTGGCTGACCTGGGTTCAATTCCCAGCATCCCATATGGTCCCCCGAGCACCACCAGAAGTAATTCCTGAGTGCATGAGCACTCATGAGTCAGGAGTAACCCTGTGCATCACTGGGTGTGACACAAAAAAGAAAAAAAAGATATAGCATCTCACTCTCTATATGCCTTCTTTTCTGGAGGGGTCATGCCTGGCAGTGCTCAGGGCTTACTCCTGGCTTTTAGCTTAGGTATTATTTCTGGTGATCTCTTTGGAACCATATGAAGTACCAGGGATCAAACTCATATTGGCAGAGTACAAGAATATCACCCTACCTGCTATACTAACTTTCCAGACCCTCTATATACTATCATTTAAAAAATTCTGCTACATCTACTACTTCATGTATATGGCTTTATTCATATCTCCCTAATTGAAACTTAACTAAATGTATCTTCCTCTTGAGTGAGGTTTCTTTATTCTCCCATATTTCTCAACACAATAAATGCTTGAATTCTCCCATTACAATGTCCAAACCCAGGATTTTCTACCATTATGTAATAGTGTATCTTCAACTAAAGCTCATGCTTTTCAGCATCATCATCGTCATCCAATTGCATCTCCATCTGTTTTCATTATCTTCATTGAAGAATTTACAACTCGTGACAAACTGTCCTTAATCTCTATTATTATTTAATTCAAGATTAGTTTAAAATTTTATTAGTCGGTCTGGAGAGATATTGCAGAGGAGATAATACTTATCTTGCAGTCAACCAAACCAAAAATTAACTCTTAAAAACACATACAATCCCCTTAGTAACACAAGAAGTGTTCCCTGAGCACAAGTCAGGAGAAAGCTCTGAGCACTGCCAGATGTGATCTAAAAACCAAAAACATTTTTTTAAAATTTTTATTAATGAAACATCATGAGGTATAGGTGTAGACTTACAAATTTTTGTGCTTGGGTTTCAGTTATACAATGATCGAGTACCCATCCCACCACCAGTGCCCATTGTCTACCACCAATGATCCCAATATCCCTCCCACCCCCATCTCCCTATCCCACCCTGCCTCTGTGACAGGGCACTCCCTTTTGTTTTCTCTCTCCTTTTGGGTGCTTTGCTTTGCAAAAGAAGAATTGAGTGGCAATCATGTTCGGTCTATAATCTACTTTCAGCATGCATCTCCCATCCTGGGCGGATCTTTCCAACACCCTTTATTTGGTGCTCCCTTCTCTATATGAGCTGCCTTTACCCCTAGAGTGTACGGCTGGCCTTCAAGCCATGGAGTAAACCTCCTAGTACTTATCAGCTATTCTTAGGTGTTAGTCTCCTATTTTTTTACTTTATGTTCATCAGATGAATGCAATCTTTCTATGTCTGTCCCTCTCTTAATAACTCATTTCGCTTAGCATGATACTTTCCATGTAGTACCACTTCTATGTAAATTTCATGACTTCATCCTTTCTAACAGCTCCATTGTGTAGTTGTACCAAAGTTTCTTTAACCAGTCATCTGTTCTCGGGCACTCAGGTTTTTTCAGATTCTAGCTATTGTAAACAGTGTTGCAATGAACAAACAAGTGCAGATGTCACTTTGACTATACTTTTTGCTTCTCAGGGAAATAGTCCCAGGAGTGGTATTGCTGGGTCAAATGGGAGCTCAATTTCTACTTTTTTGAGGATCATCCATACTGTTTTCCAAAAGGGCTGAAACAGTCGGCATTCCCACCAGCAGTGAAGGAAGGTCCCTCTCTCGCCACATCCACGCCAGCACCAGTTGCTTTTGTTCTTTTGGATGTGGCCCAGTCTTCATGGTGTGAGATGATATCTCGTTGTTTTGATCTGCATCTCCCTGATGATAATGATGTAGAGCATTTTCTCATGTACCTTTTAGCCATTCGGATTTCTTCTTTGAGAAAGTTTCTGTTCATTTCATCGCCCCATTTTTTGATGGAGTTGGATGTTTTCTTCTTGTGGAGTTCTACCAGTACTTTGATTATCCTTGATATCAAAACCTTGTCGGATGTGTATTCGGTGAATATCCTTTCCCATTCTGTAGACTGTCTTTGTATTTTGGTCACTGTTTCTTTGGAGGTGCAGAAGCTTCTTTGTTTAAGATAGTTCCATTTGTCTATCTCTGTTTTCACTTGCTTGGTCAGTGGCATGACATTTTTGAAGATACCATTAGCTTCAATGTCATGCAGGGTTTTGCCAACTTTGTCTTCAATGTACCTTATGGAATCTGGTCTGATGTTTAAGTCTTTAATCCATTTTGATCTTACTTTTGTAC